TTTGTTTTATTGCTGTTATTATGCTTTTGATTATTATTATTATTTGCTATTATTTTAGCGTTTATTATACGTTAGAACATAATTTACAGTCAACGAAAATTATTGTTATTGTTATTTGAATTATTATTATTATTATTATTTATATATTATTATTATATATAAAACCTTACAAAATGTGAAATATGTGCATAAATTCTTGTGTCACATAATTTACTCTCTCTTTTCCTGAGTGTCCGTTAAATTTATTGGTTGTTATTAAATAAATTTTACTTTCAATTAATTATTATTAGTATTATACAAATTAAATCAATGTATGAAAATTTATATACTGTGTAAATTATTTTATAGCAATATAATATTAATATATAACTGTTAAATTATAGGTCAATGAATAAAATTAAAATTATCATAAAATATTCATTGATAATAAAAAATATAGATTTTATTTTAATTTAATACAAATTTTGTATTATTTATAGTTTATATTAATTTAAAATATAGTAATATTTTAAATAAAATATAGTAATATTTTAAATAAAATATTTTTAATATATAACATTACTTTTGTTGCTTTATTGTTATTAAAAATTCGTTAATCAATTAGATAATAGTTATTAAACAAAATACAATTATTTATTAGTTTTAAATAACTTTTGTCAATATATAATATTGTAAGCAATCCTTATTTGTTGTAGAAATAAACTGTTTGTTTGCCAAAACATACTTTATATAAATTTATGTCATATTATAATTCAAAATAATGTTTGTGAATCAACACAATCAGTAAATAATGTAATTTTATTAACATACAATAAAATACAAATTAATGTCTATAGATTCTATACCAATAAATAAAACAAAATGATTTTTTGCATTGACTTTATGCATAATCATGAAAAACTAGGGTTGAAAAGTACAGTCTATTTTCATCATCATCAATTATAAACAAATTTTTTCTTTGTACAACACTATCATAGTATAATGTAATGTATGTATTTTTAATGTACATTTTAAAAACATTATATTGTGTTTAAAAATTATTTAATGACAATATAATTTTTAGAAAACATTATTTTTATTTTAATAGTTATTTTTAAGAATAAAAATAAAATAAATTAAGATAAAAGATATAAATAAAATAAATTAAGATAAAAGATATAAATAAAATAAATTAAGATAAAAGATATAAATAAAATAAATTAAGATAAAAGATATAAATAAAATAAAAAATTAATATCATAAATAAATTTATTATAAAAAATGTTTATTTTCACTTATATAAATGGTTTTGAAATAAGGTGGCGCTAACTTTTGTATTGTATGGAAATATTGGTCATGTATTATACATTGTATTATACAAAAATGTTGTCTCTGCCAATACAATAAAAGACAAAACAAAATCTATAGAAATTGATGAAATAAATGTAGACTTTATAACGGTTTATAAATAGTGATATATTGGCGGATATATAGTATAGAAATGTATGTTTTACAGCCTGTAATTTACTAGCAATACTCTACTATACTCTATACAACCCCATGACTACTGACTGTCCTATGAATATAAAAATAAATGTTTGGGAAAAAATAGTATTTCCACTGCAAAAACAATAAGGAATTTATACTCCAATCAAATCAAAAAATAGAAACACAAAAACAGTAAAAGCAATGATAAATAAATTTTTATTACATTCATTGCTACGAACAAACAAAATATTGTAACGCTATAACAACACAAACAATATTATACACAGTATATAATAATTGTGATTTACTTATAAAAAATACTGAATAAATCTCTAGAGATGCAAATAAATGTAAACCAAAATTTTTAAATGAAAAAACTAAAGGTATATAACTATATAAAACAGTAATGTTTTTGTGTTGAATTAGTTTAAATCTGTAATACAAAAGAATATTCTATAGTTTATATGTAATTATTTAAATAATTGTGTTGTAAGGGAATAGAAATTGTGAGTTTGCTATTATTTTTTAACGGACCATCATTTTATATACTTATATATATACAGTATATCAGTGGCTATTATTAAGTTAGATAAGTAACGAAACAAACAAAATATATTTATATCTAAATGCCACACTTGTATTACATACTACACATATACTGTATAGTTTAAATCTTACCCATTTTTGAGCACATAATCCATTGGATTAAAGATATTTTTACTACAAAAAACACATCATTGTTTGGATGTTTTAAGTGTACAGTATTGTTGTGCACTCAATATTTTAAGTGCTTATTGTTTGCCATTGTGTGTCCATAGCTTAGAGAATAGTATTGTTATTATTATATAATATATCATATTATACAACAATATACTGTATATTTTGTGTACTAAAGATTATAACTCACACATTTCATAAATATGATATAACAGTCCATTTAAAATTTATTATATACTGTATAAGTGAATGGTTTGTTTTTTGTATTGAAGTACACTAATAGATAATGACCTAATCCCTGATATAACATCACTGGCATAATAAACACAATACTTAAACATAAAATTATTAGTATAGTCTATAGTATATATTGTTAACAAATATATTGAATTTTGTATAAATATTAAGTTATACAATATATATATTGAATATTCTATTGTTGTAATAATTGTTAATATTATATACAGTATACTGTATATTAATCAGGGATAAGCAAGATTTTGAATATTAGGGAGGTATAGAGTGGGGTAAATTGAAAACATCTCAAAAATCTTGGGGATATAGTAGGAAAGTCCCAAAATAATAGAAAAGTATCCCCAAAAAAACTCTTAAATTAATAAAAAAAAAACTTTAATTTTACTTAAAATTGAGAAAATAAAAAATAACATGTCTTTAAAATGTTAAATTAAAAATAATTATGTTCTTAAAACTTAAAAATAATCAATAAAAACATTACAATATGCTGTATATTTTATTATTATTATCTCAAATCATATTATTAAAATCATATTTTGCTTGTACATTATATTTTTTCAAAAAAATAATTAATTTTTAATAGTTTAGTTTAATATTTGTTATAAAATAATGTAATATTTTTATTAATTTTAACTATTTTACTCGAAATTTTATGAAAGGTATATTTCTCCTTGTTTTTAAGCAACATTTTTTATTTGGTCAAAAAGTTTGAGGGGGTAAAATTTCAAAATTTCTATTTTAGGAGGGAGTAAAATGGTTCACTTTACCCCTCGCTTAACCCTGATATTAATATATACTATATATATACCGGTATTATTGTTTGTAACATAGCATTTGTATTATGTTTTTAGGTATTGTGTTTATGTGCGATAACTTTCAATTTAAAGACAAAATAATTCAGAATATGTTTTTCAAATACTAAGAGTGTAATCAAATGCTTATAAATCGTGACCAGAATTTTAAGGACAATTAAATAATAACAGCAATAATAATAATAATAATTTTTAATATTATATTAGTTATGTTATACTGAATTATTATTTAGCGTAATTGGTTACTATAAATTACTGTACATATTTTAAATTGTATATTATGTAATACTGTAAATTATATTGTAAATATCTAGTTAGTTTAGTGTTAACAAAAAATAAAAATACTAATAATAATCTTATTATTAAATTTTTTATACAATACAAATAATAGTAACAACATTACCACAACAAATACAACAACAAATGCCTTTTGTTATTAATATAATTATTATTATGTTATAATATGTGCTATATATACAGTATATATATATACATTATATACTATAATAAAAAATATATAAAAACCTATAATACATACACAATAGAGAGAGAGAGAGAGAGAGAGAGAGAGAGAGATACGATATAAAAGATAAAAATTCTTGACATCGCATAACTTGTTATTAGCATTATATATATTTTTTATTACTATTATGATGATTATGATTATTATTATTATGATTATTTTTTATTATAATATTTCCCTTTATGTAATGTTAATTTTGTAGACATTTGTTATCATATAATACAGAATTATTGTAATCATTTTTTGGATTAATGTATGATAATATTTTTTTATATTTTTTTAAACAGATATCATCGAAAAATTAGCAGAAAATATATTAAATTTATTGATACCATTGTTTGTGATCAAAGAAACAACCAAAAACTCACAATTAAACGGATAATATAGTACTATAAAATACATCAATAAAGTACTTAAGATATAGGAGTGTCTTCAATAAATTAAATATATTATTTTATATCAAGTTATACTTATTGATATATAATAATGATAATAATAATTATTATTCATTAGTTTGTATGCAACAAACATAATATTATTAAATAATGTTAATACATATAATAAAATTACTTAAAATAACAATAATAATATTATTAATTTAATTAAATTTCTTTGCCAAATATTATGACATATTAAGAAAGATAGAAATTTAGTGTTAAATTAGGTTATCGTTTTGATGGCTTTTATTATTACACATCTCATTATTATTACTAATATTAATAATAGTAATGAATTTTTATAATAACAATAATAAGTACTTTAATATTAATATAATAATGAAGAAATTGTTTTGTTTATTGTCGTTGTTGGGCATATGTTTGACACATATTTTTTATTTTCAATTTAATAATAATTATTATAAGAAATGAAATGATAATTATGTCAACTTATAATAATTGTGAAATTATATCAATATTTTTTCCCAGACAAATTTTTATAAAAAATATTTTATCGTTTTTGTTATTATTATTAATTATTTAAATATATATTGAAATATAATTATTGAAAAACATAATTTCTTCTACATTAATAATGTTATTAATAATAAACAAATATAATACTAAAATCAACATTAGAAAAAAATTGTAGAAATATACATTTGATATAATGTTGAATAATATTTATAAAATGTTAATAATTATACACAAAATGAATAATAACATTATTTATTACAATAAATATATGTATAAAATATATTATTTACTATTATTTATTACAATAATAAGTCAACAATCGGGTGCTTCTGGTGTTGCACTTTATGGCCACCGTTATCACCGAAGACGTGATTTAGTGTCGGCCGCGCAGACCAAATGTCTGGACCATTGCTCGTGTATTTGGAAAAGCGGTAAAATTACGGTCGAGTGCAGTGCCGGTCAGTTCAATGCCATACCGGCCGGCATCGGTAGTGACACACAAGTATTGCAAATGACGGGCAACATTATGGCCTCATTGAAAGCCCGTTCCTTTCAAAGTGTAGGTCTCACTAATTTGCAGCGCATATCTCTGAACCGTTGCGGTATAACAGCGTTGGACGAACAGGCCTTCTATCAAGTGTCCAATTTGGTTGATCTCGATATAAGTAATAACTTTTTGACTACTGTGCCCACCAATGCTCTACAATACTGTCCAATATTGCGGAAACTTTATTTCTCGCATAATGTCATCAAACAACTAACCAATGAATCATTTGCTAAGTTTAAACACTTACAGACAATTGATTTGTCGCACAATACCATTGAACTAATTGAATCCAATGCTTTTCAAGGATTGAAAAATTTAAAACAATTATATTTATCAGAAAATAAACTCAGGTTTGTTTTAATATCTTTATATAATAATAACTTTAAATTATTTATAATAACTTTATAATTAAGCATAACTTTATTCTAATAATTTATATATTTTAGAGAAATACAAATCAAATAATTAGAAAAATTTTAGAAAATTGATTTTTATAGTTAAAAATTTGTAATTTTTTAATAGAGAATATTGAATATATTTATACTTATCTATAATATAAAGTGTATTATACTAATATACATTCTATACTAAATAAGATTTTAAGTTATAAAATATATCTACAATATATATCAATATAGAGTATTTGTAGATAAATTACTATATTTAATAAAAAATATCCACATATCCAGATGCTCTACTGTATCATATATATGGTAGTGACAACTATAAGAAAGTTGTGCAATAATTCATAAGCAAAATAGCACAAAAATTAATGAAGTATGAAGTTGTTAGCCCTGAGCCATTTGCCATTTATACCGGAGCCAAATACTAAACATAACTGTACATACATTCCAACAAAACACATATATCTTATGACTATACTATGCTTATGGACGCGATTGGTGTGTTTGTCTGTTAAGGCTCACACACACACACATAACATACATATTATACATAACACACACAACACTACAAATTCTGTCACTGAATTGATTATTTGCTAAACATAGGCGAAACACCAGAATCTGGTGGCACTCATATACAGAATACCAGTTTGTCTTTTGCTAAATATATCTATCATAAAATTTTTTGCTTCTCATGTTTGCTCTCTCTCTCTCTCTTTCTCTCTTTCTCTCTATCATTTTGGGAATGACTTCCCACCATCAATAGCCCAGTGCTCTTTCAATGTGTCGGTGCATTCAATAAGAAGGGAGAGAGAGTTTATATGAAAGAAACTATCATTTATAATATGATTTCTTCCTGTTTTGAAAAATAGCACTAAAATTCTGTCAAAGCATTTATAAAGTAATGGATATAAGAATTTTCTGATGGATTTTCATCAAAAATTTTTTTCATAAAATATATAATATATTTATTCACAAATAGAAACATATATTCTCTGTGTGTTGACTATAATTTTCATATGAAATACATTTTTATTATGATTTTATAAGAAATGACATTTTTATATTTGATATTAAATATAGAATAAAATCTTTTTCGTGTTATTATTTTATTATAAAATTTTATTATAAAAAGAAAGTAATAATAAATTAATAAATGACTTTTTTAAATTACAATATATAATATTTTAGTTTTATATATAATCTAATTTAATACTAATCTATGTAGTTATAAAAAATAATTACTTTATTTTTTAAAATTTTCATAATAATTATCCTTTTTAGTAATTAATTTAAAGAAAATTAAATTTTTTGTTTAAACAATAAAAAATATTATCAAAAGAAACGTTTAATTAGTTTTGCTATAATAAACAACAAAATTAACATCAATTTTTTGTATCCATGTGCAGTATATATATATACATATATATATATATGTCTAATCATTACTATTAAGTTTGAACCCGTTTTGTTTGTGAATCCATACAACAACAACAACAACACAGAGTGTGTAACACAAAACTTTATGAAAAGACAATACATTATACTTAAGTCAATATACTCTTCAGGTCTTTTTCAGGGATTTTGTGTTGTTTTAGTTTTTATTACAAACAAAACAAATGAGATTTCTCTCTCTCTCTCTCTCTCTCTCTCTCTCACTCACTCACTCACTCACTCTTTCTCACACACATACACTCATTGACTCGTTTTTTCTTTTTCTTGAGAAGAAACATAAGGTATAAGAAAACAAAGAATTCTTAAAGAGTTTTCTGAAATAAGAAATTCTGACCAATTCTTACAATTTTCTCACACATATTGTGTTTCATCTTAAAGTAAAGGCAAACACCAATAATTTTCTCCTAAAATCTTTACCTTAAGTTTTAAGAACATATATACACACAAACTAAACACTAAATTCTTAGGTTTTAATATATTTTCTCACTTTACTTAACAAACCTTAATATTTAGACTTAGATATATAGTAAACTGACCCTTACTTTCATAGATATTAATATATATATATATATATATATAGTTATATATCTGATAGAAAAGCCGTCAAAAAGCTTGTGAATGGAGAAACTCGATGGCAAACACTACTGATTATACACTTATTTATCAAACATAACGCAAATAGCTATCTATTTATTTATCATTTGATTACTTTCCGGCGTTTAATATAAGATCTGTGAACATATACAACAATCATCATAACCTAAAACTATTGGACACATAGACAATGTATAGACAAAAATTTTTCTTATAATTGCATTATATTTTCGCTATACTGAACATTACTATTGTTGAGATTAGAAATGATTAAATGAGACAATCCTGTGACCCAACTCTTTAAATATCGATTTTTCTTTATTTAATACACAAATATATATATATATAACATTTTAGTGCATCAGTAAAACATAATTAAGAATTATATTTTATAAGATTCTTTATCATAAAGTACTGTATATGTATTATATATCCTAATTTACAACGAAAACATAAAAAAATAAAAATATACGAAAATTTCTTAATGTTGTTCCCATTTGATGTGATTTTAAAATATTATGATGTTTTCGGAAGAAAATATACGACAAATACTAGAAAACCACATAAAAGATGTATTTTTAATGTTTTTGATGAATGTATGGCAAAGAAAAGGACTGCCTTTTCTGATATACAGTACATACTGTATAAGCATTCATCACAACATGCATTTGGTCTATACTTAACTGACAAATGTATTCTCCAAATATTAAATCAAACAATTTTGTGGTCAATATTTTAATATATAAAAAGTTATATAAGATTGTATGTATAGACAGAAATAAGAATCAAATATAAGCGCATTTATAAATAAACAATTTATTTTTTTATCATTTTATTTAATGCAAATTCTTAGTTTTTCTGATTTTATTTGAAAAAAATAAAATCTCAAAAAAACTAACTGATAGTTGCGATAATGTATTGCATACAAAAAATATAATGTTTTGTTTTCACAACAAAATTTTGCTCACAACTAATGCTCTATTTTTAAAAAAATATATATAAAATAAAATAATCTTTTATCTGTACGCTTGTTGTCAATAGTCATAACATTAGCAATTGATTTTCATACAAAAATATTTGTTTTTTTAAATTTCATTTTTCATATATATATACTGCATAGTATAATGTCTAATAGTAAATAATAAGTATATCTAAATCATGACACTACACACACACACATACAGTATAAATTTATATATACTATTTTGATAAATAATCTGTTCAGTCAAATAAAATTTTTAAATAATTTTTGCCAATTTTGGTGCCACACATACTGAACATAATTTATATACATTATAACTACACATACATAGTGTATATCTGCCTTTCCCTGTATTACATATTTTGTATGCATTCAAAAATTCTAGTTTCCCATTCATGACATGTATATTCATGATATACCGTATATATAATATATATAAATAAAATAGATTTGCTATAAATTTCTTACACTTGAGTTTAATATTTTATATTTCCTTTTATTATATATCCAAATATCGAACGAATATATATATAGAATATTCTTGTGATTTCTTTCTTTTTCTTTGAGCACATATTCTCTAAATGTTTAATAATAAGAGACTTTTTGACTGCAAATAAAAAGAAAAAATATGGAAAAAATTCAAACGAATCACAAGTTTTGCTTTCAATGTTTCCTTTTTTCATTCAATGAATAAAAAGCAATAATAATAATAATATAAATAATAAGGAAAAAGATGAGTACTATACTTAAGATAGAAGACGAGTCAATAAAATATATCTTTTATTTAAAAAAAACTATAAACTTGTTTTCAGACACAAACAAATGCGACAACACTTTAAGTAAAAATTATTATTATTTTCATTTTTATTATATTTTTTGTATTATGCTTATCATTAATGATTATACGACTTATATTTTATATGTATATATAATATATAGATATTAAAAAATATTTTTTGATTACAATTGTTGCAATTACTATTTAATTGTTGTGATATAAGCCTCTAATGATTTGCGAGATATCATTATATTAAATGACTCTTCGTCTTAATGATCATAACATTAAATATAAATGAATTGAAACATAATTGGACTCTTATTTTTTATATACCATATCTCTTGATCTATAAATACTGTATATTTATGTTTGCTATAACTCAATGAATGGCATAAATTTTCCATTCAATATATCCAATGTACTCATACTATGCATTATTATATGGTTAGACCCCATGATATGCACAGTTGGCTAATAAAATAAATATTTTCTTTATTTTCACATTTTTTATTTGTGAGACTATTATATAATAAAAATATTCAAATTAATGTTGTATTACAAAAAAATTATGGCAAATATTTTGTCTATTATACAAATTGTATATATATAAAAAATTAAATATTTTAAGAACTATTTAATAACTTAATTTATTATATATATGTAATAAAATATTTATATGAAATCAATATAAATAATTTATTCTAATATGTTAGACAAAAGATTTGTTTTTTTAAAATAACGTTTCAGATCAAATTATTTTTTTATTAATAAGTATATATTAATTAAAAAATATAAATATTATATAAATAGTTAAAATGATAAACTAATGTTAATACGATTAATAAAGTAGGAGGGGTAGGGCATAACCCCACAATCAAACACATCAATTATAATCAATTATATGATTTAAATCATGTAGTATTTGTTTTATATTTATGAATACTAAATATGTTATAACTATTGTTGGCATAATTGCTAATTGTGCAAAAGGTCAAATAAAAAATTATAAATATATATAAAATAATATTTATTATTCTAATTAAGACAATAATTTGTTTTTAAATTTTAATACTAATGTAGTACATAATTGATTTTATATTATAGTATATTTTAATTTAATTATATTATATTGCGACTATAAAAAATTAAATTAACACAACTAATTAAAATCAGCGGATAAATTGCTGAATATTAGTATTATTGTAACTATAAATATATAGTTTTAATGTTATGTAGTAACTTTTATTTAATTTTATTTATATCAAATTTATAAATACAACTATTTCTATAAATAAAAATAAGAAAATGAATATTCAATATATTATTTAATAAGCAAATTATATGAGATGAAAATATAATCCAATATCTAAAATGTATTGACATTTTTATGATTTTATTATTAGATTTGTTTTTATAACATATTTTACACTATTTATATTGATAATGATTGCATTTATTTTCATCACTTAATCCCTGAAAACAATTGACATATAATTTTTACTCCATTGACTTACCGATGATCTCTCTCTCTCTCTCTCTCTCTCTCTCTCTCTCTCTCTCTCTCTCTCTATTTTTCTCTAAACGCGTCTATAATGCTTATATACATTATATGAAATTGCTTTTATGCTTTATAAAATAAAATCAAAATCAACAAAATAAAATTTTTAAAATAAAAAACATCAGTAAATTTATGGAAAATAAAATGCAATACTATTATATTATCAAAGTTTATATATTGTATATTTGTACACTTGAGTGCACCGGCATTATTATGGTCTATGTGTGCATGTATGTCCTTATTTTTGTATATGTATGTATGTATGTGTTTATGTACTGTATGTACTTGTGTGTGTATGTGTGTGTGTTTGTGTTTATGTGTAAAACATTAGGATGATGGCCATCAAATGTATGGCACATCTCATTTAAATCCAATGCTATTAGGATTTGTTTGGATGTATACAGTAGTATATAAATGTGTATATTATAAGAGTATATAATGGCAAAGAAGTTGATATCTGAAAATCACTGTTATTATTGCAACTCATTTTCAAACAAAACACAAAAAAAAGTAAAATCACTTTAGTTTTGTTATTGTTTTATAAAAATATTTAGTTTCTTTTTCTCTAAAAATACAAATAAAAAAAAGATAATTTTATTTATTTGTTATCTAAGACAACATTGTTTTGTGCAAAAATTCAAATTTTATGAAATACAATATATTTATATATATATATAAATAAATTATTTTATGTGAATAACATTAGCGGTGATTTTATTTTGCAATTGCAATTAATCAAACACTTATTACAATACGAGTCAATTTAATAATTAATAGATTTGCATATAATTTTAATGATTATTTTAAGCAAAAGCATAAAAAACTATAATATTTTTTATATGATTTACCGTTAATAATATTTTGCTACTATTGAAAAGCTAATCATAATTTTTAATGAAAACTATACAATGATTACATACAGTATTTATATTAATATTTTTGTTGCCAATGTAAAAGGCCATACAATTAGTAGAGTCCATATCAGTAGAAAATATAATAGTTGTGCTAATAATTAGTACAAAAATAATCTGTAAGTTATAGTGAAGGGGTCATCAAAATAGGGATCGCCACTAGAGTGGTCTGTTTTAGTCAACTATATGTCTATATATTTGGTAAGTTTTAGGCACTGGTATGTAACCAGGGTTAGTGTTGAAAGAGATAGCACACAATGATTATGTTTGCTACTCTCTCTCTCTCTCTCTCTCTCTCTCTCTCTCTCACACACACACACACACATATACACACACACAACACTACAGTATACACAAACGGGTTCATTGTATGGCATATATTTCATGGCATTATCTCGACTCAAATAGCAGACAATTGCTTTGTTATAATTGCCAATCGATTAAATGTCCACTAAATGAATGAATGAATGAATAAATCAATGAATGAATGACTTCAATGAAAATGCTTTTTTGTTTTATATGTTATGTTTTGGTCGCTTTGTTTCACTGTTTGAATACTTGTCTAATAAATGAAGTCATCTCGTGATAAGTCAGTCACTTAAATGGTCCACTCGTTTGGTACTAAATGTGCTCACATTAGACACACTAAGGCATACCATTCCAATGCATTGCATTCACTATTTATCTATCTATTCATCTCAACACACATTTCACAAAAACACTGGCATTTATATATAGATTTATATATATATATATATATATATCAGGTTTAAGTAAGGGTTTGAGTAAGTAAGATAGGGGGCGGGGGTAAGGCTAAAATAGCCCTTAAGATCGAAATTTTGGGATTTTACCACCAGACTTTTTTTTACATACTCGGAAAAATTGTAGCTTAAAAACAAGAGCAATCACACCCCCCCCTAAAATTTAAAAAACAAAATTTTAACTAAGATTTAATAGTTAATACTTAACTTAGTTTATTACTTAATTTTTTGTGCTTTTTAAAACATTAAAATTGAATTATTTATTGTAACTCATCAAAATTAGCCATTATTTTAATAAAATTATGTAATTAAAAATTTAATTATTTGTCCAATAAAGTACTTATGTTACAAGTAGAATATTATTTCTAAATAATTATAATTATGATAATTATATTTATTCTAAATAATAATTTTTTTATAAATAATTTTTATATTTTACCCCTACCCTAAAATCCTAAAAAAACCTTGCTTAGCCTTGATATATATATATATACGCAGCGCATACACACATATATAAATACTGATTAAAAATTTACTTATTTTTTATAAATTTAATTACTAATATTTACTATTTGTAAAAAATGTATACCATCTTTATTTAAATTTATATAATATTACACTTTTAGCATTATTATATATTGACATGTAAGAGCTGCCAGTTATATATTGATATACATATTGTTATTCATATATTGCTATAAATATATTCATGAAATTACTTATAAAATGATGTGAACTAATGTGTGTGTGTGTTTGTAGATGTGTGTCTATATAATAAAATTTGTGACCCATAAATATAGAGAATATCTTTATCACTATATTACAGATTATTAACAAAATTTATAAAATATTATATATAATGTATTCACCAAACACCGTATTTTATAACATAATCAGTAAAATACTTTATATAAAATGCATTATATTATATTATATTAAAAGTACTGTATTTATATTTTTTCTTTAAATATAAACATTATATCTTATATACAGTAGATTCAGAGTATGGTTGTCCATCATTTAAAATATACTGTAATATTTATTAAAAGTGATTCAGTAAATAATGTTTGTGAAATTTGGCTCCCATTATATTGAGTGCTATAATAATAATCATAAAAAAACTAAAGTAATGCTCTGACGACTAAAACATATAAAAATAAGTGAATAGCAGTTTTAGTGGGACTTAAAGTCGCTGTTTTTCTGATAAAAATTTATAAATGAAGTTATGGTATATTAAACATAAATATAATCGCTTTACTACTTCTTATAATATACTATATAATAATATAAATATATGAAAATACTATATATTGTATATATGTATAGATTTCTTTCGTTTTTAAACAATCAATAAACACAACAACAATAACAACAAACATAACCCTATTATATAGACTATATTATACTTGTCTTTAATGTCGTTAAACGGTTGATCCAAATCTTCAGTTTAATAGCCCTAACCTTTTATATAAAAACACATCATTTTGTGTCTCAACAATAGTAATCCTTTATTTTGCCGGATTTCACCCTCTTTTACAAACACACAAATAATAACACCAATCAATTATATTTCATTGACTACAATTCAAAAAAATTATACCCATTTATAAAATAAAAATCTTTGTATTGATTATACTTTTTCCAATATATTATATTTTATATAACAAATATAGCTAATATCAATATCACTGTTACATATAATATAATCTATTGTTGAAAGCATCTTAATATACTGTATTTATATATTATTTATAAATAATGTATTTTTTGTTAGCTAATGTATAGATCTATAAACACGAATATTGAAATAGTATATTAATATATTGTGTAATACATAAAATAAATTTTTGTATTTTTGTTTGTGCAAAATAATAATACATACAAAAATATCAGCAAAATATTCTCAGTTATTCTCATTATTGTTGAACACATAAATCAAAATCAATTATTTTTATTATCTTAGTTTTTTAGACAATTGACAAACATTTTTTATGACTGCTATTAATATTTGTTTAAATTTCTTATAATGATTTATTATACAAGTATTAAATAATACAGTATTACTAAAATATATATATTTTTAACAATAAATCACATAATGAATAATGACATTATATTTTGGTAAATTAATTTTTTAGTAATTTTATTTTATCAATTGTTTTTATATTTTTTTATTCAAAAGCTATATATCAGGTCATGTCGTCCGAACTTTGCCGTCATTGTATGAGCTGACCCTACACTATAACCCGTGGCACTGTGATTGCAAGCTCCGGGATCTACGCGATTGGATGCTACAGCACAATATACCACTGAGCTATTCTCCCAACTGCTCGACGCCAAGTCGGGTGACCGGCAAAGAGTGGAAAGACCTACATATTGACGACTTTGCCTGTTTGCCCATCATATTGACTGTCGACCAACAAATCCATATTAATGAAGGCAAGAAATTATAAAAAGTTTTCAAAAATATTTTTTATTATTTATTTTATTGTCTAATTAATGATTAATTGTTTTTTGTTGTTATGAAATTTAAATCAAATTTAATTTATCCCATACATAAAATCCCATATATATAAAATTTATCTTAACATAATAATTGAAAGTGGATTCATTATATCTAGTGTTGGCAAAAAAGAGAAATTTATAAAATAATAGAGAAATTTCTAGAAAGTTTCTAAAAGAAATTTCTATTTATGGGATCCCCATGTTAATTTTATTATCTCGATATTTGCTATAATATAACAATACATTAAATATTATATTAGTATTTTAATTATTAATTAAAGTAAAAAATAATTAATTAAACTATATTAAACTATGATATATATATATATAATAAAATAAATAAAATTTTTAAAAACTGATTATTATTAAATAATTATAATTATAATTATATTTATCTATAGGTATCCGATTTGGATAGTACTGTACTATACTGTATGATATTATATGTATATTATCATATCTTATTAAAATACTGGTATTACAATAACTATAGATATGGGGATCCCATAGTATAACATTAAAGTTAGATTTCTATAGAAATTTATTCATGAGAAATTTTCTAGAAACTTTCTCACGGAAATTTATTAGAAACTTTCTATTTGCCCATCTCTAATTATATCTCAAATTGATATTTTAATTATAAATTTTTATTAACTTTATGTCAACACATATTCAATTGAATCTTAATATTACATAATTGCTTGCAAATATATTATGCAAATATATTAAAAGCATTTTTATTAGTCAATTACATATCTTAAAACTAAATATGTATATATATATATATATATATATATATATATATTTATTTATATTTTTGTATATTCAATTTAGATAAAATACATTATGAGAGGATATATTTCATTTCTTAAAGATCAACTCTTTATATTTACAGTATATTTAATATATATGCAGTATATATGTACTGCTAATATATTATAGTAATATATATATATAAAAAGCATAACTCGTATGTCTATTAAGCATTAGAATATTTTGTAGAATAAATTCTGTATTTGAAATGATTATAATAATAAGTTACTATATATATATATATACACTGTATAAAATATATATATATATTATTTGTATATATATAACTACTACATAACTAACGATTAATGCATTATTTCATTGCATACTCGCATGACTTAACATTGATGGCAAAAATTTATCATTTGTTTAGTAAAAGAATAGACAGAAAAAGTGAGTGAAAGAGAGAGAGAGAGAGAGAGAGAGAGAGAGAGAGAGAGAGAGATGAAAACAATAGCAACCGAAATAGTATTTATAGTTTATATAATATGTTTAAATATAAAAACAAGTAAATATAAGTAACACTAAAGATGTGTTTAAGGATGGGTTAGATATGTAATGAAATAATTTTTTGATAATTTTTCATTTTACTCAAAAATAATTATATATTTATGAAATAAAATCTGCTGTAATTTTGAACTAAGCTTTTTGCATATTTTATTATCATATATTGAAATATATAATCTAATACTATGAATTATTTAAATTGGGTCTCGTTCAAAATATCCAAAATTAAAATATCCAAACTTATAATATCTAATTCAAAATATCCAAATTTAAAATCTCAAAAATCTAAATATCCAAACTCATAATATATAATTTAAAATCTCCAAAATTATAATATCTAAACTTATAATATCAAAAAACATTTGATCCAATTTAAATAATTCTAATAAAAATATCCAAAATTATTTTATATAAATCAAAATATCCAATTTTTTTTGTTTCCAATAAATATTTATAATAATAGGTAAAATTAGTACTATAAATTGTAATTACACTAATTTTGGATATTTTAAATTAAATATTATGAGTTTGGATATTTAGATTTTGGAAATTTTAAATTTGGATATTTTGGATGCGACCGATTAAATTATAAAAGATTTTATTTTTAGACTAAATTAAATAACATATAAATTAGTTATAAATTATTTAAAAATATAGTATCTAATATTTTACATTATATATTATATATTTTTTTACTTATAATACAAATGGATAAAATACTTATTTATTTTATTTTATGTAAAATGTATTTTTTCTAAAATAAAATCAATAAAACAATAAATTAATTGTATTTGATATTATAGTAACGCAATAATTATAAAATATGTTTTTAATAAATATTTGTTAAGAAAATTACATTTTGTAGTATTCAGTAAATCTTTTAAGAAAAACAATAAAATAATAATAATAATAAAATAGCTGAATATAATTGTAAGTTTTAATAAAGATTTCTTGTTTTTTTTTGTTTAAATCTGTTACTTAAAATTTATTTTAAATCATTATTTATTTGAAATATATTTTTTAATAAAAGTTTTTGAGATTGTAGTATATAATAGTTAGAACTCTCTCTCTCTCTAAACAAAATTCATGAGATTTTATTACTTTTTTTTGCTACACTCTCTCCTCGTGGCTCTTAATAATAATAACAAAATTTATAGACTCGAGACATAAAGTGTCAGTTTTTCCTAATTTATTATTATAAAGTATAAAAAGCAAAAAAATCAATGGGTATTATACTTACTATAAATAAGAAAACAGATATTTATATAAAATAAAATATTTTGTACAAAAAAGGCAACTTTTGTAGACTTTATGTCCACCTTATAATTGAAATTTTTATATTTTGATTTAAATTTAAATTATGAAATAATAATTTTTAGCAATTTTTCTTCTATATATAAAATATATTTTTCATTTACAGTATTTATGTTATAACTTTAAAAATGCATAATTTATAATAATAATACAATAATTATTATTTGAAAAATATAATATTTTAGATATTATCATATGATTAGTATTATTAATATGATTAGTAGTAGTAGTCCTAACTTACACTTTTGCACATAAAAACTATTTCAAATATAATATAATTGGTGAATATTTTTTCATTATTTTAGCTCTCATTTTGAGTGTCATTTGCAGTAAAATACATCACAAAAAAATTTATCAACACTACAACAACTATAGTTATATTAAATAAGATAAATAGATATAACTAACTAATGCACCAAAAAATGAGCATTAGATATACAGTATATATATATATATATATATATATATATATATAGATTAGAGTTAGATATATAACTGTTAGGAATTAAGGATGAATGTATTGAAGTGAAAAAAATTAAGAGAATAGTAATGAGTCTCTATATGTGTGTGTGTTATGAGTTAGAGAACAGTGGGTTAAAGGATAGGGCTATGAGTGAGAAAAGTGAAAGAGTGGGTGAGTCATAGATAATGAGTTTTGTAAAACAACTGGTTATTAATGATGATTTGGTTGATGAGTTGGAAATGAAGGGCAAAAACAATGATATCTATTTTGGATAGAAAGGGGGGGTTTTGTGTGCTAATGAAAAATATTTTGTCATCACATTAATTAACTTTTTTTAAAAAACAAAACACTAGAAATTTTTAATGATATATTGTATAGAATATGCTATAAATTATAAGAAACTTAATTTATTTATTTTAGTTGCAACTAGAAATATTATACGATAATACATAAAATATTTTTGTAATAATTAATAATATTAATATAATTAAATTGATTTTATTGTTTATAATTATTGCATAAACTTTATAATAATTTGGTTAAAAACTAATGATATAAAACTAGTTACTAGATATTATACAGTATTTATAGGTATTAGTTATATAAATTTCAATATATTTTTTAATTGATTATTTTATTTTCAATAAATTGTTTATTAATATTTTCATGCAAATCGCTTTTTAAAATTATAAAATATTTTTAATAAAACTAAATTGAAATATAATAGCAAATTCATATGGCATTTGCTATCTAAATAGCAACATAATAGTGATACAAACAATAGTATTATTATTATATACGGTATTTGTGTTTTTTTGCAAATATAATATTTAATTCATTTTTCATGCATTTGACAAGTGGTTAACATTTTTATGTATTGTATTTTGTTGTTTGTCTATTATTTGGCGTTTTGTGTGTTTTATTACATTTCCGTTGACATCTAAAAAAAAGTTTTTTCTAATATTTTTAATGTAAAAACCATTTTTTATCTCCAATTGGGAGTTCAATAACATTAAGATTTAATCTGCAATAGAAAGAGACATAATATATGTTTACATTGAGATATTTCAATATTATATATTATTGACAAAAAAGAGAAATTACTAAAATAATTGAGAAAGTATCGGTTAAGGAAATTTTTGAAATTAATATTTTAATTGATATATTTTAATATATAATATAATTTTACACATATATATTAAATTTTAGATCAATCGGATCAATATTTTTATAGTTATTAAATAAAATAATTTTTGATTATAATGGGAGGTTTACAAGAAAAATAAAACTTTGACCCCCCAAAAAACATCCATCCCTGGGATCAATTGTCATGAAATTTTTTTGGTGACATTATAATTATCAATAGATGTTTTAAGGAAAGTGTGGATCTGCTCCGCAAACATAATCTTAAAACTAAATTACTAAAATATGTCACCATATTATATATGTATAGGGGATAAAATTTTACAAAAACTATAAATATAATTACAGTAGATAAATGTATTAATTATATATAGGAATTTAATAGTATATTAATAACTTAAAGTTTTATAGAAGTTTCTTTCTAAAATATTTACTAGAAATTTTCTCATGGAAATTTATTAGAAATTTCTATTTGCCCATCTTCACATATATCCAACGTGTAGCTTAATATATATATATATATTATTTATAAAACTAAACATAATAATATGATAATATTATAAATTTTATTTTTTGATATCTAGATTAAACTTGTCAGACAATCAAATAAATGTTACATCAAATTAAAACATATTTTTTGTTTGTAATTTATTTTTATAAATATTGCTAATTAATGTAATAATTCTTTAAGTAATTGTGAAAATTATATTTAATTAATTAAAAAATTATATTCATATATTATTTCTCGCAAATGAAATAAACTTTAATTACTAATGTATTAAAGCATAAAATATATGATATACTGTATATAATCATTGATTATTGAATATACTGTATAGAAAAATAAATAGCACTTTAATTGATTTTGTTGTTGTTTTCATCTACTTTCTCACCCACTCACCCACTGTTTTATTAATTCACTTATCAATACTATTGAACGAAAATGAGACAAATGAGTTGATGATCCAACCCATCAAATTGTTTTTCAATTTGTGTCGATTTAGTCAACCATAGGATTCACAATACATAACTACACATTTAACAGACAAATCTATATTTGTTTATATAAATTATTTTAAATATTACTCTGTATTTTTTTTTAAAAAGTGCACAAACATTAACTAAATATGAAATATTGTATTAGTTTTAATAAAAGTTGGTGTTATTAAAATATAAAAATTAAATACTATATTATACAATATAATAAAAGAAAAATGTAATAATATATAATTAAAATGAATACAAATGAGACATAGAGAGAGAGAGAGAGAGAGAGAGAGAGAGAGGATGTGATAATATAGAGAACAAGAGTAGACAATAATCTATATTTTGCTTACATTGACTATAATATTAGCTATATTTTGCTAATTGCTGTTACATTACTTACTAGAATATAATCATACATTTTCATTACGTCAAATGTTATACAATATTTTATTATTATTATTATTACTAAGTTATGTTTGTTGATGATATACTGTGTAACAGTAACTGCTATATTTGCATTATTATATAAATTATATATAATAAGCTAATTGTTTATATGAAATAATATCAAGTTATATCTAAATAATAATATTTATAATTAAAAATTATTATTTAGCATTATATTTGTATATTTATAAAGTGTTATTTTTTACAGAGTCTCAATATTTACTTAAATAATATTTAAATTATTTAATATAAATGTAATATTAATAATTGATTTTAACTGACACTTTAATACTGTTAATATGCCTTACTTTTAGTAATAGTCGTAATAATAATATACTGTATTAACACTCATAACACTCACAGTCACTGCTTTCTTGTAAGACGTTTGCCAACAAAATATAACCTTTCATTGAAATATCTCTACAAACTGTTTGTCTGTAACTGTGATCCTTAACTACAGTTACTGAGTCAACCATAGAGACTAAGAGAGAGAGAGAGAGAGAGAGAGAGAGAGAGAGAGAGAGAGAGAGAGAGAGAGAGAAGAAAAAATCAGATAATAGGACTTAAATAATACTTTCTAGCAATGCATGTGTGATAGAGGACAGACATTCAACTTTTTCTCCATTTCCTTATTTATAAGATTGCATAGTCTTAATGCATCAAATATTCATCTCTCTCTCTCTCTCTCTCTCTCTCTCTCTCTCTCTCTCTCTCTCTCTCTCTCTCTCTCTCTCTGATTCTCTCTTTCTTTATAGTATCACTTCGGCAGTCGTTTCCAATATCTTATAGTAGAAAGAATTGTATTTATTTTATATACATTTAAATAAATTTTTAAAATCTATTTTACTTTGAAATCCCCTTAAATTTTTTATATTAACACAAAAATATTTTTCTCTTAAGATATTTTGTTTCAAATAATATTATAACATATTATGTATACTTAATGCTAATGTATTCTTATTTTTTATATAAAGTTTTCTCATATAAAGTCATTGCTTTAATATTAAATAATAGGCGAAAATGCATCGATCACTTGTATGGTTGAGTCTATACCGTTGGCATCTGTGGACTGGCTGTCAAAGGGTCGGGCGATTAAAAACATGTCGTTAATGACATTTGGCAGACAAATGTATCTCATTAGGGACGGACAAAACGGCCTCTTTCAGAGGACCAGTACATTGTATATAATGAATGCGCTGGAAAAGGATGCCGGAAGGTATGTGCATATCGTGTATACATAGTATAGACAAAGTATTACCTATAATACCATATAATTTGTAATACATTATATTGATTACTTAAAACATACGAACTATTATTGTAAAGCAAAAAGATTTTGTGTTACATTGACTTAACTATAAGTCACCAAAAGTCAAATAAAAGCATTGAATGAATATATTAAATAATAGATGAGATCTTAATTAGACTAATGAATGGAAAGGACTTAAGTTTCAATAGCTTTAATGATTTTATATGAGTTTATACTCTTTTTAAGAGATCTACACATTAAAAGTTATCCATATATTGTATTAGAGTAAATGTACTGTACATTCATCGAGAGTGAGTTATATATAATACTATATTATATATACGGTATATACAGTATACAGTTTATGCAATATACTTATTTTATTGTATAAATTAATTACTATAAAATATATTAGTGTACACTGCAATATAACTCATAGCGTGATTAATAATTAATTATAATAAAATGCATTTTAGTCTCTCTCTCTGTTTGTTTATTATTACGTGAGATGATTGAGTGGTTTGTTGATTGAAAAACAAATTATTTATTTAGTTTGCCATTTGTTGTCAATCATAAGGTCGCCACCACAGAGAAAGTGTTGTTGTAATGGAGTGGGAGAGAGAGTCAGAATAAGCGGGTAAGAGAGTGGGTGAGTGAGTGAGTATACATTGTTTACACATTATACATGTAAAATATAATGTATATGTTATATATACTGTATACACCATATACAATATATAATATATATATAATATATAGTATAATACACAATCAATACAATAAACAAATATAAATAGTATGATATACCTGACAGTATAGTAATATTATTATAATAGCTATCGTGTTTATGTACATCTCAGAAAAAATGTTGATTTCTAAGCAAACAATAGTTTTGTGATCAAACTTTTATTTTTGTTTTATCCCTTGATATATCAGTCATACATATATAAGGAAATAAATACACATAAATATATTGATATATCTATAAATATAGACAATATATATATATATAGATTTATATATATATATATATATATATATATATATATATATATATATATATATATATATATATATATATATATATATATATATATATATATATCAAATCTATTGTCAATATATGTATTCTTTTATTTCTAATAAATATTCTATTAGTTGACAGAATTGTTTGCAAATAAACAGAATATTCGTTAGGGATTTAGGCGTTTCTCTAATAAAGAGAGAGAGAGAGAGAGAGAGAGAGAGAGAGAGAGAGAGAGAGAAAATAATAATAATAATAATAATATCACAATCTTAATAAAAAAAACAAAAAATAAGATTATATTTATTTTTATATAACTTTATATATGTTTAGTATTTTTAATTGTATTTATAATGATTATTATTATTGATTGTTTATTATATACGATATATTGATATATCAAATATATTTTTCAAAGCATTTTTATTTTGTGGGAAAATACAGAAAGTCTTCATTTATTAATAAAATATTATTTTTAGTAAATATATAGCAAACGTTTTATACTGTCTGAAATGTGTGATATAAAATAAATGTGTTATAAATTTTTATTAATAATATAAAACTTGCTGTAAATGCAATATCTAGACATACATAATACATCGCTGGATCCAAAATAAATGAACATAAAATTATAGTAAAAATCTAAAATATCATTAATAATATGCTCAGATTAAAGGATTTAAATATTTTATGCCACCTATAATAGACTTTGCATTATATATTACTATATGCATAAAATTACTTTAACATTATATATAGTTTGTATGTTATAGTATAAAATTAATTTAAATACTTTTAAATAGGTAATATGCTTATATATTATCAGAGAAAAAAGAGATTCAATTATATTTTGGATAGAATTGTGTGTTCAATGGTTTTATAAGGGGTGAAAATGATAAATGATGTTTAAATGTCTAATAAATCTATGTTTGCCAGCTATAGAAAAATAGTATCCTATAAATAATTATCTATTAAAATAATATTCGCTAAATCTTAGTGAAAATCTTTAATCAATTATATTATATATAAAAAACATTTAAATTGTTTGTCATACATGAATAGTAGTCTATTTTATTGCATTTGTATAAAATTTCATTTGTTTTCTCTTTAATAGAAGTTTCAATTTATATTTTTTATATGATGTATATATTGTATATAATTATATATACAGTATATTTAAATAGTGAATAAGTGTATGAGTATTGTGAGGAAATGTGAGTGAGTAAGTGAATCAATGAATGAGTGAGTGAGTGAGTGAGTGAGTGAGTGAGTGAGTGAGTGAGTGAGTGAGTGAGTGAGTGAGTGAGTGAATGAATGAATGAATGAGTGAGTGAGTGAGTGAGTGGGTGAGTGAGTGAGTGAGTGAGTGAGTGAGTGAGTGAGTGAGTGAGTGAGTGAGTGAGTGAGTGAGTGAGTGAGTGAGTGAGTGAGTGAATGAGTGAGAGAGTGAGTCTAGTATTCAATAAGTATGTGATTAATTGCAATTATTTGAAGACAAGAATTTTACGATAGATTAAATAAAATTAATTATCACACAAACAAACACTTGTGTATAACATCTAAATTTTTATGGATATAATATATAAATGAATTATAGTGTTATCGACACACAAATTGAACCGCCATTTCTGCTGTTGTATTATTTAATATTATTTTATATATAATACTAACTGTGAGATAATATTATAATAGCAGAAAAAATTTTAAGCTTTTGTAATGTTTGCTATAAATAATTCTATAATTTTAATAATAATAAATATAAATAATTTTATACAGTATTAATATATGATGTGTAATATATGTTATATAATACTTTATACTATATAAGCAAATATAAATTTTGTTGTTAAAATTTTATGAATAAGTCTTGTCTATGTTTTATAAAATTAATTATTTAAAACTCTTAATGTAATAGAAAAACAAAAATTAATAATATTTAAAATCCCTTTAAGTGAGAATTTGTCATTAAATATATAGTAATGTTGTATTTTATATATTTCAAATGAATTTTAGCATAAAAATTTAATATATTGCTTTTAAAAGTGTATATTTCGTAATATAATTATAATAATTATTTAATCCTTTAATTAGTTGGTTTATAAAATTTTAATAAGCTTAAAATATAAATATATTAATGTTTTTAATTGATATATTTTTTAATAGCTTTTATGAAATTATGACACCGAATTAATTTCATTTAATTAAAATTATTTTTAATTTTATATTATTTTATTAAGTATTAAGTTATTTATTAATATATTTATAATATTTATTATTGTTGTTATTTTTTTATTAAAAATCTATTTATGTCAAAATATAAACAATAGTGAGAGTGAATGAGTTATTGGATATTCAATGAATTAGTTATTGAGTGAGTGAGAGAAAGAAAGAAAGAAAGAAAGAAAGAAAGAGAGAGAGAGAGAGAGAGAGAGAGAGCGAATAAATGAATTTAAGAGGTATTCATTAATAATAAGTAGTAATAGGTCTTTCTTTAATTTCTTAACAATTATTTTATATTATGAAAAGAGAAAGTTATATATATATATATATATAGAGAGAGAGAGAGAGAGAGAGAGACTATTGAGTAGATGATAGAGAAATATATGAAAAGAGACAAAACAAGAAAAAACAAGTTTTGCCAATAATAGAGACGAATGATTGAGGAAATGAAATGAATTTTATCGCACAATATATAAGCCATTTATTGGTCGCAAACAGAGAATATCTGGTTTTTACCTAAACTCACACAAAAACTACTGTTATTAGTGATAATCAATTTTGGTTTAGTTTTTTTTTGTCTTATCTTTTTGTGGAAAATTAAATAAAAAATCTTATTTAAAATAAAGTGAAGTTTTTTAAACACACATAGAAATTGAGTTTTTGTCTCAACATAATCTCGTTTCAAAACATATTTATTTTTTTATTGAGACTATCTTTATAAATATATATATGACTTTTCTGTTCAAATAGCTATACATGTGTCGGTAGCAACAAAGCGGGAACTGTATCATCCAATTTAAGTTTGAATGTACTCAAAGTGCATTCAAGTATAGCGAGCTATAGTGGAGAAGAGGTGGCCGGTATGGTATTGGGAACGATATTCATCTTTTTGATCATTTTTGTCGGTATTTGTGTGGTTGTGTTGCGATCCAAAGCGCACTACCAGAACATGGGTTCGGCCACTCGTACCAATCAATCAGCAGAAGCTAACCGATGCAAACCCGATGAACGCAAACTATTGTCCGTACATATGAATCACAACACATATGTGACACAAGTGGCCACAAGTAATCATTTAGAGTTGAAACCCATTGCCAACAACAACGATAGCAAACATCTTAATCACATCGACCGTAATGATAGACATAGTGTGAACAATGTTGAAGAAGAGGATAACTGTCTGATGAATGATATTCAAAGCAGTTTCAAAACAATGTCCGTAACGACAGCACAGCCAACAACAAGTTGTGATAATATAACTGAAATCAATGCCAATGATAGATGTGATGACAACAATGTGTTGTCAAACAGTGATGTTATCAGTGATAGAGTGGACTTAAATAGTCATCAAATAAAAGAAGTTGTGATGAATCCAAACTGTGATGATTTTAACGCTGATTATAGTAGTAAACTATTGACCGATAGTGACAATGCTATTACTTTGTTGCCATCGATGGCCACAACTTCTTCATCGGCACAGAAATCGCAACGAATGAGAACTGAAGAGCTTCTTAAACGTCGCGCCTCTGATATAACCCAAGAGCTTAACAAACGTTTTAGTGAACAAAAACTAATGAACGGACAGAACCCCAACCCCTATAATAAAGACAATAATACCGGTGCTCAGCATTCGGTGCGCTTCTCAAACAATGCAACCATTTATAACTATCAGTGTCAACGATTTGGACACTCTATGGAGTCATTGGACAGTAATGGTTATGATGGCTATGATTACCTAAATTATAGGTCCAATGGAAATCCTAATCATAACAGTTATGACTTACCAAATGGAAGTGTTGGTCCCATAAATAGCAATAATCATAATAGTAATAATCATCGATCGCTGTTGGGTTTGCCCTATTCGTTGAGACCAATTAGGGGATCAAATAAACAAAGTCGAAGAAGTGGCGGATCGTTAGCCGCTTTATTGGCTATCAATGCTAGAGATTCACCCGATGAAGGACTGGGAGATGAAAGAGAATATGAGACCGATATTCTTGATTAATATATTGGCTATTAGTTATGGTATGAAACATAAAATTATAATTTATTAATAGATATAAATCTAGATCATTATATATAATAAATCTAAAAACAATGATTTAGTTATATAAAAAAGAAAATTATTTATTAATTAATTTAATTATAGTAAAAATCTCTTACACATTATTACACATTATTAAATATTTGTAATTACAAAACCAAATAACTTGCATTTTAATATAATGTATAGCATTGAATTAAATCAATTATATTATTAAAATACAGTAAAAATCTATATTATAACTACAATATTTCAGAGGAATTAGTGAAACACCTATTTTGGTTACATTTAGCAGAGTTTAACTAAATATTTATTGCAACCAAATTATGAGATAATTTATGTCATATTTTATTTATTTTAACGATCAGTGGTTCACTAATTATTCCCAACATTACGATAACTGTGTTTTATTGATGTAAACAAAATATAAATAAAAATTTTGCTGTATATTTTACTGTCTATTATATAGTTATTGCATGAATCTTTATATTCAAATACACATTTTATAAATGCATATTATTAATATTAAAGTAATTTTTATTATGATACAGAATAATTGACATATTGTTAATTGATATAAGTAAATAAAAATAATTTTATTTAATTTATGCCTAATATATCAATTCATATATATATATAATATATTTCAAATTAATAAAAAAATTATAATACCTAAATAGTTTATTATTATAATGTTTAAGATGAGTAAATAACTAAATATTAAACATTTAGTATATTTAAAATATACTTCTAATTTTTTAAAATTTAAAACACAGTTTAGTAAAAAAAATTAGCAATTAATTTTATGTCTTTTTAATATGTTTATTTATATATTACTGAATATATTTTTATAAATTTCTTACTATAAAACTAATTTACATAACGCTTAAAGTTATAAAATTTAGACACTAATTACTGTTTAATAATTAAATTTAAAATTAACTGAAATTTTTGTATTTTTTATTTGTTTCAGGGATTAAATGATTTCACTCAACTTTGATTTAAAAGAAACTCATATATAAATAATTAATTGTGTGGTAAAACCAATAAAAATAAAGTTTTTAATTAAATAAAATATTTCGTAAAATATTCGTTATTATTAAACATTTTGTTAAACAATATAACATTTTTTGAATTTAATATATACAATTATAAAAAATAAAAAATCTATTTTGTATAATCTATTAATATTATGTAATTATTAATTGTTTAAATTAATAATCTTCAATTGTTATAATGAAATGTGTGTATAAATTAAACATTTATTAATATTATTATTAAAATATACATCAATAATCCAAATGTATATATTAATAATTAATAAAATAAACTTTAATAAATATAATATTATTGACTTTTATTAATTATTTATTACTTAAAAGTATATTTTTTATTAAAATGTTTTAAGTAATTGGTTTGCTATTTAGAATAAAAATCAAATAAAAATATTGTTTAAAATTATAGGACAGCAATTCATATTAATAATAATTTTATTAAAATTAGGAACAAGTGTTCAATAATAAATTATTAAATTTTATATTATACCGTAGTTTAGTTTAAATTATTATTTTTTATACAATTTTAAATAATTGTATTAACTACAATTTTTAATTATTTACATATATTTTTATTTTATAAAATTCACATTTTATTAAGTATTTATTTAATTTTAAAATAAATTTAATTTGATTACTTATTAGTTAATTAAATTCATAATAAATTAATTTTCCAAAATTAACTAAATTATCAAAATAAACTATAATTTAAAGATAAATATTTATTTAATATTTCATAATTTTTAATATAATTTAATAATTTTTTTATAGTAATGAATAATAGTTTGAATTACATAAAATATGTTTTGGATCTAATTGTTTTATTTATTTTTATTTAATATTACTGTACATTAAACAATAATTAAAAAAATCATTTTAGCCTCAACTATATCTGGCTAATGTCTTGACTATTATTTTATTTGTTTTTAGTAAAACATACGTGTTATTAATGATTGTACTAATGCTTATAAAACTAATTGTAGTTTTTTTTTGCTTTTCTAATACAAATGGTATTACAAAATAATTAATTAAACCGTTAAAACTAGATATTAAACATATTTTTGGTTTATTATTTTATTAAAAAGATAATTAATACTTCATAAATATTGTAATGTTATAAATGTTTTTACAAAATTATTTGTTTTATAACTTAGTTTTAATTGTATTGATTATTAGTTTTTCAATAGCAAACAATTATTCAATCAACGGTAATCAACAAAACGATAATAATAATGATAAAAACTGGAATAAATACAATGATGAAGATTACTATTATGATGATAACAGTGATATATTTGACACATTTAGGTCTATAGAATATTCTGAGGCAAACATAATCGATGACAACAGTAAAAATGGTAATACATTTTGGGCCGACTTTTTGCACTATGACTTATACAAACAGTCCAATGACTTGTCTGGTTTGGTCGGACTAATTGTCGACCGATTGGATATGATTATCGAACGGTTCCCGATTACTGCCATTGTTTTGGAACCATTAATTAGGATACTATTAGGTATTTTAGTACCATTTACTAGATATGCCGTTGACTGGACAGGTGCTACTTTGGAACTTAAATATATGATAGAAAACAACCATGTTCAAATTGATATTATATAATTAAATGTCTGCTATTAAATATTATTAAAAAATGCAAGTCATTTATAAAATTTGTTGTTCAATTTTATTATATGCTAATAGTATTAAATAAATAAAAAATTTAAATCTTAACACTAATATTATTATAATTGATATAATTAACTTATCATTAATAAACAAATATTTTTTGTATTATTTCGAATTATTAAAAACAAATTTTATAAAAATATTTTTAAAACCTATTTACATTTATTAACTTAGATACATTAACATTCAGTATAAATAATTGATATTTTATTGCTAAATAATTTGTCTAAATCATATTTAATTATATATTTATAAATTCTATTTTATTAAATGATGAGTATAAATTTATATTTATTCTATATATATATATTTACTTAAAGAATATTGATTGGAATCTCTCTTTTTTTATTTCTCTATTTTTATTTTACTTTTTGCATAATTCATTGTATGCCCACATATACTGTATAAGCACAGAGATTAACATTTGTTGGACACAAAATACAACTCAAATAATATTTTTATACTTATCTGTCTCTCCATCGATACGGCGATTCTTTAATACTATAATATATATATAGTATAAATCATATGTACAGTATATAAACTACAATATATATAGTCATATAATAATATTGTACTCTCTTGTGCTAAATGATGAATAAGTAATACTTTGAACGAATTTCATATGAATTCACCGAAAAAAATAAACAATATTTTTAAACATAATAACAGCGATCAAGAGTTTTGTGTTTATTTTTTCATAAATATAAAAAATACTATATTTTTTTAGTTTGTCAGTGGTTTTTTCACATGTAAACGAAACTCTACTTGAAATTTAATGTCTAAATAATTATTTGTATACAAAAATACTTATGTATGAACAAAATAGCGTATAATTTTTTTTATAAGAAAAAACCCAATATATTTAGGATTTGTTTTTGGCTTAAATATGTTATTTTAAAAAAGATTTTAATAATGTGTGCAAATTATTGTATAGCATATACTAAAGTTTTAATATTTGCTGATAATAAAAAACTAATGTTTTAAAATGTTTTATCAACAAAATATTGTAATAATTTTAATAAAAATAGTAGTAATAATAGTAATAGTAATCTTAAAGTATTAACCAAATTACTATTTTCTTCCAAATGTGCGATATATTACATTGTCTTTAACTAAACATATAAATAATATATATATATATATAAAGACAAATAAAAAAGCCAATGCTATAAATATTAAGTATTTTTTTATGTTATATACCATTATTATGATTACGGATATTATTATTATTATTATATTCATTATTATATTGTGTCTCACTATTGTATTTTTAATGACATATCTGTATATAATAGAGCAGACACTCAGAGTTTTTTAATTTTTGTAAAAAGAATAGACAAATGTACTGTCATTTAGTAACAAAAATTGATATAAAAATCAGTGTTAAATGAGTTACAGAATTAGTGAGTATATTGTAGACACAGAATATATATATATATATATATATATATATATATATATTAATATACTGTATATAATGTATGTATAAATATATTGAATGACAAAGTGGTGCACAAATGGCAACGCCTTTACAATCGGTGAACACATTATAGTCTTTGCATTTATTTCTTCTTAAATCCAAAAATCTTAAGATTCTGTGGATATTCTGTGTATATATTCTTAATGCGCACACATTTCAGACATCTCTCTCTCTCTCTCTAATGTCTTCAATGTCTCCACTCATATGAGTTATACAAAAATCTTATCGATTTATTTTTTATGGACAAAATTTTTTGAACTAAATCTCTCCACTATTACTACTATTACTTTCTTTATAATAACGAATCTAAACTGTATGTACATTATAACTATATTTTACTGTATATCTTTTTGTGTGTTTATCTTTTGCATTAAATGGTAGAGTATATGGATATAAAAAAATTATGTTTTATTTTTTCAATTGTTTTATTCAGTCAAAACACATGTATTGTAAGTGTTTCTGAAATTTGTAATATTATAAGTAACACAACACTATAATAATTATAAAAGACTGTAAATAAATAACAATATAAATGTATGAAGTCTAGTGTTTTTTGTTGTTAATATACATTTGTAGTTAAAAGTTAGTCACACAACTCATATTTGCCAAACATTGCCAAACATTTCGATTCTGATAATACAAGTTTTGCACAATAATGTAGAAGTGTTTAATAAATTATTAACGATAGTATAAAACGCGTTAAACATTATAAACAAACAAAATTTTAAGAGAATAA